ACGAGTAGCTCCAGTATCTACCCACCACTCCTTAGTGTTTCCAATTAAGTTGCATTCAGAGACGACCGCAGAAAGATTCATGTCTTGTACCTTATAGTGAGGCTCTCATGTTCTGTTACATTGGCCTGGTTAGTTTTTCCGTTCACATTTTTTGGCTTTCGACAATCCTTGGATCGATGTCCTGCCTTGCCACAATTGTAACAGTTGCCTTTAAACTTTTTAACAGTTTTTGAAGAACCAATTTGTCCTTCCCCATTGTGCTTCCTCTTTTTGCTTGTCTTGAAGCCTCCTTCTACAATGTTGGCTTTTGATTCCATCGAATTAGATGTACCATTCCTTTTTTTCGTTTTGCGATTGTCTTCTTCTATTCTCAATCGGATAATGATATCTTCAAGTTTCATTTCCTTCTGCTTGTACTTGAGATAATTCTTGAAATCCTTCCATGAAGGTGGTAATTTCTCAATTAGTGCAGCGACTTGGAATGATTCACTTAGTTTCATTCCTTCGGCATGGATGTCGCTAAGTATGATCTGAAGTTCTTGAACTTGGGATATGACGGTCTTGTTGTCAACCATTTTATAATCCAAAAAATGACCGACAATGAATTTCTTCGTGCCGGCATCTTCGATTTTGTACATTGTGTCCAAAGATTCCCACAGTTTTTTTTTGCGGACTTAGCATTGCAGTACACATTATATAATGTGTTATCCAGTCCATTAAGCACATAATTTCTGCATAAGAAATCAGAATGCTTCCATGTATCAACCGCAGCCAATTTTTCAGCATCACTGTCTTGCTCGGTATATGAAGGCCCGTTTTCTTTGAGAAATTTAGCCAGATTTAATGTCGTCAGATAAAAAAGCATTTTTTGTTGCCAACGCTTGAAATCTGACCCATTAAACTTTTCTGATTTTTCCCCGGTCGTATTCGGGAGTGTGGTACCAGAAGTTGCCATTTCTGAAACACAATCAGAAGATCAACGGTAAGAAGGAGTAGAAACAGAAACAAATAATAATTGAAAAAATTCGTTTTAAGATTGTTGTTTCTAGAGTTTGAATTCACTCCTTCGAAAACAATCGGACAGAATTACCTGAATGCAGGAATTGATCAACAGGATCTAAAGTTGTAATTCGAGCCCACCGACTTCACGATGTTTCCTTAAAACGAATTTGCTGCCTTCAATAGTGCTAAAAGCGTCCAGCAATCGTTTCCTAGGATAAAACAAATTTTCGTCTCCTACGAAAGCAGCACTGCAGTCTGTAGGAATTCCAACGAACTCAACGAAGTGCCTTTTACTTCGAGACAATATCAGAACGAGAGAGAGGGAGATGAGATTCAAAGCAGAGAAAGTTTGCAATGAAAATGATGTTAATTTTTGGGTAGAAAGGCTGGCTATTTATAGACTTGTTCGTGGCCATTCGAACCGTCATCACCTTTCAGACAAGCCTCAAAAATCCGAACAGACACGCTGTTCTAAAAAGTTGTGTCTGTTAAGTCGGTTAACAGTCGACTGTTTGGTCGGTAAACAGTCGAAACAGCCGACTGTTAAAAGAAAATAAAACACCCGGAATAAGCCAAAATTTAAATTTCATTTTGTACCCAAGAATTTGATTATTTACAATTTGACCCAAAATTTTAAATAAATTTTGTCCAAAAAGTTAATATAGTGTAAAGGTCCATCCGGACCCACACCGGACTCGGGCACGGGCACGTGCTCGTGCCGTGCCGAGCCGAGCCGACCGGTCGGACAGATGACGGCGACGGCGGCGTGCGTGTGTGGGTTTATGAACGAACCCAATAGGATATAGGTCTTCTCCCTTCCAAAGACTATTGGTACCACTTGGGGCCCAAACCCAATTCCAAACTTCCACCTTATAAATCACACCAAAGTTTCCTAACTTTCCTATCTGGGATAAGTGTTTGGCAAATCAAATTCTTCCATAATCCTTAGTTTATCTGGGTTACTTTAATACTTAATATTTCATTCAATTTTAAATGGTTTTCGATAAATAAATATATCACGTTAATCATCTCGCGGAATAGAACGTGAATATGCTAGGTCCCGTATTATTTAAAAGGTGGGTCCCACTGAAATTTGGGCTCAAAGTTGACCCATTAACCATTTTTTCCAACAGTTATGTTGGTGTTAAGTTCCAAATCTATATTTTGGGGTAAAATCTGAAGTATGATGTATTTGAAAATCTCTTTGTTTTTATTTTTAAAACTGAAATTTAATTTTAATGTGAACTCTGAAATTTATTTCAAAATGTGAAACTAATTTTAAATTTTGAAGTCTGAAGTTAAGTAGAAACATGATTGTGGGCAGTATGAATTAGCTGGACTTTGCTAATTTTTCGAAAAATTTGTGAGAGAATGATGACTACTAATTTTTTTTTTATTTTTTTATTTTTTAAGTAGAAGCATGATAATGAGCACTTTGTTATAGGCAGAACGTACTGATAATAAAAGTTCAATTGGCTTCTTTGTAGGGAAAGAAATTTGTACCGATGTCAAAGCTGTTATGTTGGTGGAGTCCGATGACGAGAACGATATTGACAACACCAAATCAATGGGTGATGATGCAACAAAAGGGAATGATGTAACTGTGCTTGAGGTGGGCACGAAGTTCAAGGACAAAAATGAAATATTTGAATTTTATAAAAGATATGCATATGACCTGGGTTTTCCAGTGAGAAAAAGAAATTTCAAAAAGTATGAGGATGAAGTTCTACGATATGTTACATTTGTTTGTGGCCGGGAAAGGAAAAGAATCAATAACACAAGCGTTTCTCTGAAGCCACAAGCTATGGTGCAGAGTGGATGTAAATCTAGATTGACCGCATGTTTAGATATTAATGGAATATAGCGAATAACAAAGTACATCTCGATCACAATCATAAAATAAGTCCTTTGAAGTCTAGACAGTATCGATGCAACAGAGAATTAAGTGTGCAGGTGAAACATCGGCTTGAAGTAAATGATGTTGCAAGAATACTGTTGCACAAAAGTTTCAACTCTGCAGTTGTTGAAGTCGATGGATATGAAAATATGACCTACGTCAAGAAGCATTATTGAAACTATGTTGAACAGGTTAGAATATTAAGACTTGGAGAGGGTGAGCCCTAGCAATACCGTCATACTTTTCGACTATGGAAGCATGGTGCTCAGGGTTCTACTTCAGTATTGATTTGGACGAAGAGTCGCATGTGTAGAATATTTTCTTGACAGATAATAGGAGTCGATAGGCATGTAAAGAGTTTGGCGATGTTATCACATTTGATACCACATATCTAACAAACAAGTATGATATGTCGTTTGCTCCTTTTATTGGAGTGAACCATCATGGACAGTCGACACTCCTCGAATGAGGGCTCATATCAAACGAGGATATCGATACATTTGTGTGGATTTTTCGGACATGGCTGCAGCGCATGATTGGCCAAGTTTCCAATGGGATAATATGAAGCACATGTGGTGTTTGTGGCACATATTGAAAAAATTATCGGAGAAGTTCGGATTTCTTGTTGATAAAGCTTCGATATTTTCTATTATACAAGGATTGGTTTATGATTCTCAATTTTTTGAAGAGGGTTGGCTAGCGATGATAGAAACATATAATTTGCAGGCTAATGAATGGTTATCGGGTCTTTACGAGAATAGAACTCATTGGGTTCCTTGCTATTTGAGAACCACTTTCTGGTCAGGGATGTCAATAACTCAAAGAAGTGAGAGTATGAATGCATTTTTCGATGGATATATTCATTCGAAGATCTCATTAAAGCAATTTGTCGAACAATATGAACGAGCATTGAGAAATAAGGTCAAGAAAGAGTTTCAAGCATATTTCAAGTCCTTCTCACATATTGTGCAACTAGGTATGAAGTGGAGAAGTAATTTCGGGCAGTGTACACAATATCGAAATTCAGGAAAGTTCAAGAAGAGTTCGCTGGCAAAGTTTATTGCGACCTCATATCTGTTAATGAGGGATGTTTGGGGATTACATATGAGGTACACGAAGATGTCATGCATGATCATCATTGCAAGAAAAAAAAATTCTTTATGTCATTATCTAGAGACAAATGTGATATTATTTGTAGTTGCCACTTGTTTGAGTTTCGCGAAATTCTATGTAGGCATGCGATCACAGTATTGATACGCAATGACATTCAATCATTGCGGGATAAATATATTTGATGAAGATGGCGGAGAGATGTTTTCAGATCCCACACGAGGGTTGCAGCGAACTAAGACGAGTTGGTTAGTATCCCAGCACAGTTGATGTATGACAAGATGGTTAAATCATTTGCTACATTGGTGAACCTCATTTGTGATGATGATGCGCAAATCTGGTTCCATATTGGAATGGATTGAATCACAGTGTAAACAGATGGCCACATCGAGGTCAGGTTGCGGGAGTACTGCCATGTCCAATCGTACTACTCTTTTAGCATCGAAAGATGTAGCAGTAGATGATATGGGTAGTGGATGCGTTAGCATTCGAGATCCAAAATTTTCAAAGGGAAAGGGCGCTCCAAAAAAATTTTGGAAGAAGTTTTCGTTAGAATGTAGTTCAAATAAAGCGAAGGTGTGTTACATTATTCGGGTACCATATCATTTTTTTGTCTCTTTTTACCATGTGCGAATAAGAATAAAGTTCGTGTCTCAAACATTGTGATATAGGCGGGTTACAGTACAAACAAAGGGAAGAAACCCAAGGTGCGCCAAAGTAATCTCGAAGATGGTGCAACTATTTTTCAGACAACCCAACCATCACAATATTCAATGCCAGTACCGTTGTCATACTTACAGCTCCTAATGGTTAGTACATTTACACTATGACATTTCCTTTATGCAAAATAACAAGAATGATAAGTTAGATCATTTTTTATGTAGGGTGCAAACCAAAGCCTTGGGTTTTCACAACACTTACAATCGTCTTCTTCAACCCCCCTGGACGGTCAAGGTAATGATGGGGTTTGTTTTAAAAAGGTGACGTTACATCGTATTTTGTGGATTGCGTAATAATTGTCATGGTGTACAGCATGTCATACAATGCCCTACTACGTTCCATATTTTTTGGACAACAATGATGCTAACCCATGACATTGGAACAACGAACATGGAAATGTGATAAGGTACATATAAATTTGATCTTGAGTGTTCTTTTATTTTGTAGTTAGGACAACAATGGCGCTAATCAATTTTTATTGATGCATTCTACATTGCAGCTAATCCATTCTATGTTGTAGCTAGCAAAGCACTTCAGAATGGTTAAACAAACATGGATGTTTTGGTTGCATTGGGAACTTCAGCCTCATAAGCGCCCACTAAATTTTTGTCCACTAACGAGTTATTGAATTTTTTTGATCGATTTAGTGGGAAGAGGAAAAGATTTTGATCCTCAATTTCAGATCCTATAATATTCTCATTTTATGTATACAACTTTGAGATTTTATTGATATATTTTATTTTTATGCCTTAATCTGTGAAAAGTTTTGATTTTTGTGGTGGACATTTGTTCCTTTGTTGGTATATAGCTTTTCTGAACGCCGATAAAGATTAAGTTTTTGATTATTTCAAGTGGATTTTGTATATTTTGTGAAATATTTGATCATACTTCTTTTCAAAATTTGCAAGTGTTTTGTGCTTTTTAATTGTGTTCTATCTTAAACTAGTAAAAGTTGATAGGTTGGACATAGGAGTGATGTTCTTGAATCTATCCTATTTATAATTTGGTATGAACTCTAATTGTTGTGTATTTGGATTGCAAATTCAAAACTCTACAACAAATAAAGCCTTATTCGATATAACTTTGGGCATGACAGATTAAATATTTAACCATAGAAAAAAAGAAGCCTAGTTTTAAATGATAGTGTCATAGAATACGAATACCATATACACATAGGAAATAAAGTCTTTATACAAAAACTACAATTACAAAACGAAATTACTTCACTACTACATTCCAATGAAACTACTACATCCATCAAATCATAAGTAAAGTAAGGTCTTTACATTTAACCATTACAACTCATTCATGCCAATTTCCTTTCTTATCCCCGTCTGCATTTGTTCTTCCTTTGTGTATTGTCACGTTAAAAGAAATATTCACATCCTGTTGATCAGATAATCGGCATTGTGATTGAAACATGGCAAATATTTCTACACCTCCTTCGTTAGTCATACGATTTTTCGAAGTCGCGCTAATTGCACTTGATTCACTGCTCGTCTCACCATCTTCGACCCACTCCCAATATCCACACAGGTATTGAATAATCTATCTTTGTTCTTGCTTTCTTTCTCCCCCTCAAAACGCTTAACAAATGCATGTTTGCACCATGGGCAACGACGTTTATTTGGACACACTACAAAATAATGCCCATTTTCTCTACAACTATAACATACACTCTGATTTTTTCTGACATCCTAAGCCGGGAATAAAGCACAAAGTATTGTAAGTGGAGATTAAATTTAGGGCAATAAAAATATATAAGACGCTCTTCTCAGGAAAAAAATTAAAAAACAATGAAACATCATGTAATAGCTACCTCAACATTGAGTAGAAGTACTTAGTCCAATTGTGCCACTTGAATTCCCCACGCATAATTTCACAAATAAATTAGACACGGTCATAGGACAAAAGATGTAGATGGAAGGTGCACATTGTACTTACTAGCAATGCACCATCCAATTCATGCCAACATATTAAAGTGAAGAACATTCTTATACCTAAATCATGATTTTAACTTCTTTTCTCTTCAGCTATAATATCTGTGTCCAGTTCTGTTCAATACAGCAAACATACCTATATAGTTAAGTAGCTGATTAATTACCAATAGTTTCACCGCTTGGGATGAGGGAGCTCGACAGTTGATCTAAAAACAACAGAACAACATACTCTAAGCACGTTAAATATTTCATACATATAAATCAAAAAATTGAAACTACACTATTTACATAATTACACTTGCAATTCTATACTATCACAAAAAAACCTAATCAAAATATTAAAACCAGACCTATCCAAAAGTCAACAAATTCTTTAAAAAAAAAAAATAATAATAAAAAATTAAGGAAACGGGAAAAGAACAAAAAAATTCCCAATAATTCATCATTAAATAAGCATATGACGATCGAAATGGGAAAGGAAAAAAAGGAAAAGAAATTCGAATCAAAACGGGAAAAGAAAAAAAAAAAAAAAGATTCCCAACATATTCGAACTTACATTATGTAGGCATACACGAACGAAGAGGTTGGGTCCTTTTGGTACAACTATTAACACATTGTTGTCGGCGTCGAATGAACGGTCTAAGACAATAGGTACGGCACTGTAGAACGTGCTGAGGTGGTGTTTGGAGGTAGAATACTGAACTGTTGTAGGAAATAGGGTTCAGGAAAAGAAATTTTGTTTTTGGACCGGGTTATGTCACCTTTTCTTTTGGCTGTTTTCTTTCTTTATCTTTTCTTTTCTTAATTATTGGCCCCATTTCCACCTAAGCAGGTCAAGCATTCGATCACCTATTTCAGTCATTGTAGCGCAATCGATTGTATCAATACTGGAAGAAAAATCTGTACTATATTCTGGATATGGAGTATTTAATCCCTTTTTATGTGGATTAAAATTTGGATAAAAATTTAAGTAATTAATTTTATCCACAACTTTATTGACTTTCAATCACACTTTTCATCGATTTTTGTCAAAACCTTCCATGCCCCACGCTGGATTTACAGGTTTTACTTTTCCCATTAGTCCATAAAGATCGGACACCTAGATTCATATACTAGTCAAAGTTGAACGTCCATTGCATGTTATTTTGAAATAATTTATAATTGTTGTAAAAGTAATATTTGATATAAATTTGTTGGAGGATTTGATGAGTCTTATATGAAATAAAGAAAATAAAATTTTGCATAGAAATTTAAAAGAAGAAAATTGTACTCTCAAAATTCAATTTCTATGATTTAAATTTTTTGTAATGATGAAATATTACAAATGAAAAAAATTTCTATATTACATTTGATACATAAAAATGAGGGAAAATTGCAACAGCGATCTCTAACCTTTTCATTTTTTACAGACTTTTCCCTAATCTTCAGTTTGTGTCAGTGAAGGTCCTTAACCTTTCATAAATATGCACTAGAGGTCCATCTAGACGGAAATCGTTCAAAACACTATCAGTTGATCAGAAAAATTTCTTGAACTATTTGCTACCGCGATGATCTTATTGGATATTGATATCTCTTTAGATGGTGTTTTGGACGGTTTTATTGTATATTGATTCTTTAATTTTCCCGATCAACTAACGGTATTTTGGACGGTTTTCGTTCAGATGGACCTTAGGTGCATTTTTTGAAAGTTTAGGAACCTTCACTGACACAAAGTAAATGTTAGGGTAAAGTCTGTAAAAAATAAAAAGGTTAGAGACCGTTGCTGCAATTTTCTCTCAAAATTAATTGTTAATACATAAATTTAAACATTCATTAAAATTTTCAGATATGTGAATATGAATAAAATTCATCTATAATAATTTTAGATTCTTGTAATTCAAGATTCATTGAATTTAGATTAATGTGAATGTTAATTAATTGAGAATTATTAACACGAATTTTGTAAATGACAATAATTTTATAGAATTTATTATATATCGAAAAATGAAAAATGAGATATCATTGAAATAATTGAATTATAGAAGGGTTAAAATCATTCAAAAAATGATTCTTTTTTAATGTGATATTTTAATGTATTATAGATTAAAAATCTAAATTTTAAATGCATCTAACTGAGACTTAATATTCCCTATTACTGTTTAGAACCTTCCTAGGCTGCACTCTCGCTGGTTAGAAGTTTTTTTCTTTTTTAATTCATATGGGTCTCGGTGGGTCCTAGTTTAATTCTAGTGTTTAATCAATATTTAATGTTAAATAATTGGGTCACATTACCTAATTGAGACTCAACTATGTATGTATCAATTAAATAGTGATAGTAAATATTGAATTCCATATTTCGAGAGTAATGGAAATATTCTCTTGAATATAAATATGCACAACATTCATCACGGACCCATGGGCACATAACAAACGACGATGTTGAGAAAAGTAATGTTGTTTGATATCATTAGTATTATAATGTGTTGGAACAACAATCTATGTATTTTTAGACTTATGTCCCTACCTTTGGAATGATATATCAATTAATGATACTTGAATATCACTTAGATTGACGCTTAACATAACTGATGTTAAATAGCATTACTCAAAAAGAATAACATTATGATTTTTATAAGTCGGATCCACAAATTATGTTGACCAAATGCATACAAGTGAATCTAGCAACTTATTATATTTTAATTTCTAAATACTGTTCAATATTAAATCTCAATATTCATATAAGAAAAAAGTTTAAAACCCTCGAGATTATTTTATTTAAGATTGTGATGTTGATGGGAATGGATGATTAGTGAAATTGAAAGTTGAGCATGCTAATGCTCTACTAACTTTCCGTGTAAGATTTGAAAAAGATTATGATTTATTATGATTTTTTATTTGATTATTAGGCTCAAATTAAGATGTTTCTATTTTGTTATTTTGAGTGGGACGTGCAAGAGAAGTGAGCAATAATAGTGCTCAAGTATCGAGTGTTAACAGAGAACAAATATGGAAGAGAGTAATATTACTGGAGTGTGTAAAATTGCATTACCTTCAAATGTGAGCTTTTATAATAAAAGATGAGGAATGATTACTGCTAGATGAAAAGACACGTGGTCTCATCATCTCCTAGGTGTCATTTCGTCAATCCTAAGTTCAGGCGCATTTAATGTATCTGATAGGTAGTCACTCCATAGCCTAAGTCCGACCTTTGAAAAGTAGATTGGCAAATTGACTATGAGGTATCTACTGTAGAGATATTACATCAATCAATTATAAAAAGTTCTTTTTTTCTTGGAATAGGTGAAGTGGGATATGTCTTCTCTCATTAAGAGGTTAATTACCTCAATTTTTTTTTTAACAGCAAGTTATAGCACCTCGCCTAGGCCATGAGGGTTGGCCTCTGTGTGGTACAGAGGTGATGTATCACTTTAGTTACCTCAATATATGGCCTCATCTAGGCTAGGTAGGATAGTAATATATACATTGTAGAGTTTATGCAGGATTGGACTTGCTGCTGGCTATTATGTGGCAGATGCTTGGAGCCCGTCAGAAGAGGTTTAATAATAGTCCACCAAATTCAAGTGTATATATATATAAGTGATGCTTTGGCGTGGAGTGTTTTCCCTTTGGGGTGAAAATCGTGTTGACGAGGTGATCGCTTGTTTTAGTTATGTCTGAGCATAATACAATTTGTTGACCTCATTTTCTACATGAATGATGTGGCCAATAGATCAGATTCCACTTATGTCCATGTAGCTTATCTTCTATATAGTTGGACAAATCGTTAGGAGCATGTTATCTTCTCTAGTTGTTGATGAGGTGACCACGAGTACT